AATAGTCTTCCTTATTACAGGCACTGAAGGGAAACCAACAGAGTTGTGCACACACTTGGGCCACAGCTTAGCCACACACTGTTCATTTTATGTTGTGTTATTGCCTCCCATGAATCACTGATGTTTTTTATCGCTTTCCTGATGTTGTAGTGTTTTTTCCAAAACTCCCGGATTGTAGGTTTCCCTTCTCCATCGGTCCCCTCAATCAGCTGCTCCATGATACGCTGAGTGTAGAGCGCCTTGAATGTAGAGATGACACCCTGGTCCATGGGTTGCAGCAAAGCTGTGGTGTTGGGAAGCAAAAACACAACTTTAATATTCTTACACCAGTCAACCATAGCTGGAGGATGACCTGGTGCGTTGTCGATCACCATCAGAGCTTTATCATCAAAATTATTTTCCTTATTATAGCGACTAATGCGACCGGAACATGTAGTCGTGCATCACAGACCCTGTCAACCATGCCTTACGGTTTGAACGCCAGACGACGGGAAGTTGTCCCCTCACAACCCCCCTCAGAACATGGGGTGTTTCAGACCGGCACACAAGGAGAGGCTTTAACTTCAGGCCACCCTCAGCATTTCCACCAATCAATAGAGTGAGGCAGTCCTTGTCAACTATGAATCCCGGTGCTGTCTTTTTCTCCTTAGATATGTAGGTTCATGAATGCATTTTCTTCCAGAAGAGTCTGGTCTCGTCCAAGTTGAAGATTTGCTTAGGACTGTACCCACCCTCCTTAATTATGGTTGTGAGAAACGGTGGGAACTTCTCTGCTGCTTCATGGTCGGCGCTAGCTGATTCTCCTTGTATTTTTAGGTTGTGGATTGATATACGTTTCCTAAATCTATCAAACCATCCACGGCTGACACTGAACTCAGGTACGTTGAGTTTATGTTTAGTTATATCTTTCCACAGCGATCTCGCCTTCTGTTGAATCATGCGTTTTGATAAAGGTGTTTTAAGGCGCTGGGTCTGGTCGTCAATCCACTTGCTCAACATCCGCTCCATACTCGCCATCTCAGCATCACGGAACCTCGTCACCTTCGTTGCCATCAGTAGTGTTGCAAACCCGGCCATCTCCTTGATGTTATCGGCACCTTTAACTATAGAATGTACCTTAGAAGGAGCCTAGCCGTGCATGCGCCCAATCACTGACGTTCCTTCTCCGTGTTCATGTCTTTTTACGATATCCAATTTCACGTCCAACGTAACTGCCACACATGATCTCTTAGCAACACTGCTGGGAGTTTTAGTAGCTTGTCGCTTATGCATTGCGAGATCACACAAAACACAACTGCGAGATCACACAAAACACACGCCAGCACGTGTGAGACTGAGGCGAGCGGGAGCGTATAGTGGAGGAATACGTACACATGCTGTCCTACGCTACAGCTGAGGCGTGAGAATAAACAGGGCAACCATTGCGAACAGTGGAAATGGGTAACAATAAATTGATTGAGGATAAACGGGGTTACGAATACCGAAGCTATGAATAACGGGGTTTGCCTGTACTTCTCTAGAATCCTTGCAAGACAGCGAATAATTTGAATATAAACGTCATATATTTTGCACAAGAGATAAAAAAATTTGCCATTTGTAATAAGTTTCCTAAAGAAATAATATTTGTATGTCTACTGCAAATTATAACACGTTTATATTCAATTTAATCACTATCTTATAAGAATTCCAGCAATGTAAATTATATTCTCTCTAGTCACTTCTGTGACATTTTATAAACCAAAAAAACAAAAACTCAATCTAAAGAACATAAATAAACAAATAAATACTTCACTTGACCTTCGGCCCCAACTGTCAAATGTGTCACTGTCACCTCACCCCCCCCCATTCCCATTCCCAGCCAGGGTTGGATGTTTATAGGCTTACAGTTTTTATCTTATATAATATTACTAAAGTTAGGAGAATATAATTTGCGTTGCTAGAATCCTTGCAAGACAGCGAATAATTTGAATATAAACGTCATATACAGTATTACCCCGCTTTACACGGTTTCACTTTCCGCGATTTCTCATTTACGCGGTACCTTGCCAGAACCGGACTTTCACTTTCCGCGGTGCATCTACTCATATACGTGTGAAGTATAATTTTTTTTTATTTTTTTTATTTAGCTCATAAAATTCATACAAATTACCCGGCCAGAATATAATTTACATTGCTGTAATTCTTACAATATGATGATCATTTTGAATATAAACATCATGGATTTTGCATTAGACATACAAATTTTAGATCTAATGTAATAATTTGGTTTACACAAAGCAAATATTTTATCTTTTGTGCAAAATATATGAAGTTTACATTCAAAATATTCCCTGACCTGCAAGGAATCCAGAAATGTCAATTATATTATCCTAACTTTAGTCTGAGGTATTATTTATTACTAAAAGTTAAAATCTAGTTCTTTCACCCAACATTTCTCTGGTAGGGAGGGAAGGTGGGGGGTGGGGGGGAGGGTTGGGACCGACCGACCATCTGGCGCGGTTGGAAGAGGGGGGAGGCAAGTTGGGGTACTTTGATTGACAGATAGTGTCGTGAAGAATATTTTTTTTTTTTTATTAACTGAAGATATTTGTTTTAGCTCATAAAATTCATACAAATTACTGGACCAGAATATAATTTACATTGCTGGAATTCTTACAATATGATGATCATTTTGAATATAAACATCATGGCTTTTGCATTAGACATACAAATTTTAGATCTAATGTAATAATTTGGTTTACACAAAGCAAGTATTTTATCTTTGGTGCAAAATATATGAAGTTTACATTCAAAATATTCCCTGACCTGCAAGGAATCCAGAAATGTCAATTATATTATCCTAACTTTAGTCTGAGGTATTATTTATTACTAAATCTAGTGTTTCACCCAATCATTTCTCTGAGAGGTAGGGGCCAGTGAGTTGGGAAGAGGGGGAGGGGGGGGATTTGAGTTCATTATTTGAATGGACATTAACCTGGCGACTGTATTTCTCTTAAATATTAATTGTGTGAGCATACCATCATAAAATTTAGATGTTATTTTTACTACAACATAGGTATTGTGTCGGAAAAAGTGGAGTTTGGGGGTCGGGCCAGTCTCTATTGGAATTAATCCCATATGTTTTATTTTTCACTTTCCGCGGTACCCTGTGGGTTCAATTGACCGTAAATCGGGGTACTACTGTATTTTGAACAAGAGATAAAAATTTTAGCCCTTTGTAATAAAATTAATTAGAACATGTCAGCTCAGTGACATTTTATAAGATAAAAACTTAAACTTACTCTTAAGGACAGATAAATATGCACTAGATCTTGGCATCAACTGTCAAACATATCACCTCACTCCCTCCCCCCCCCCCATATGCTGCTCGCTATGAGTGTTTGTTTTAACATAATACTAAGAAAAATTTTTTTTGTTTATTCTAGGAGATGGGCTGAGGTGCATCTGGGTAGACTGTCAGTGCTTTTAGTATTTTGCTTCTCTCAATTACCAAACTAAATTATTCCATTGAAACAACACTTCGATTTAGTGCGAATTCGGTTTAAAGCGACCCCGCTTGGAACGTATCTTGTGTTATATTGACGTTCTACTGTAATACTTTGCTGTTACTCGGAATCGATTATGTTGATCATCCAGTTATGATACAATGATATGAGTCATTAAGGATGTCACCTTCGTTGGTAAGTTTTAAGGTGTCTAAAGAGGCCGTTATCTGACCAGCAAGGTCATTCACTGATGTTGCACATGTGGATGGTTACATCTAGTGAGGGAGGGGCGGCAGCAGCGTTTTTCCGGTGTTGGTATTTGTCTGCCTCAGTTTGCAGTTGGGGTAATTCAAAAGTATTGACACCTTCTAGTGTGGTGCTCTTGCAAGTGTTACGGTGTGGAGTAATCATCTCCCAGGTGAGGGGGTTGATCTGACACTTTTTCAGGTTTGTCTTAAGACTATCTTTATGCCTTTTCAGATGCCCACCAGCATTATGTTTACTATTCGTTAGGTGTCTGTAAATTAGCTGCTTTGGCAGTCTACTGTCGTCCATGCGGTTAACATGGCCAGTCCAGTGTAGTTGTTCATGGATAATGGTAGCTTCGATGCTCCTACAGTCGGTGTCAGCAAAAATATTGGCATTTGTTCTCTTGTCTTCCCATCGACCTTGGTGGTTGGAGCGTTGACTCGGTTGGTGAAAGGTTTTGAGTGCCTTGAGGTGCCTCCTGTATGTGACCCATGTCTCCGAGTCCACTGACAAATATTTGTTTTGAGTACACCTATCGGAGACTGTAACTCCAGTTACTAGGTAAACAAACAGATACAGTCCCGTAAATGCTTTTGAGTATGCAGCCCCAGCTATATTCTACAATACAGCCTTAAAATATAGTATACTCTTCTTCTCTTTGGCAATATATGTTGTGTAAGGCAATTTCTTCATATATGAGACACTCCCATCCACATTCAACATCTGCTCTGGCAGTTAACCCCCTCATCTATGATGTTTCTTTCTCTGAAATTTTGTAAGTCAAACGTTTGTAAGTACAGGAGCACCTTATTAGTAGTAGTACACCTTTTCACATATCCGTTGAGACATTGTTACGTAACTATTTGACAAATTTCATAACCGAATGAAAGAACACATATCGAATGACAATCTAAAATAACTGTTCGTTCATGCTTACGGAAGTGATTGATATAAGTTATGAAGTTGACAGACGTGAGCAATAAACCGACAGTCTACATATAGTTTGAGAATGTAACAATTGGAGAATGACATGCCACCAACAGTTATTTTAGATTGTCATTCGATATGTGTTCTGTCATTCGGTTATGAAATTTGTCAAATAGTTATCTAACAATGTCTCAACAGATATGTGAAAAGGTGTATTGTTGTTGTTAATATTATAATTACAGTATTATTATTAGTGTTATTGTTATAATTATTATTAATATTATTATTAGTGTTATTCTTATAATTATTATTAGTACTCTATTATTGTTATCTTTTTAGCTGGAAAGAGAAAAAGAAGTTGAAAGACCTGATGTTATACGGTATGTTTGCATGGTATCCGTTAATTTGCCAAGGGAGGATCTGTGCAGTGAAGGAGTAGGGATAGGAGAGGTACCCTTAAATGAAGCATCCCCAATATCAAGGGGATATACCTTCTGCTGTGGCCGCAGGTAAACCCTCATTATTTTTTATTCCAGTTTAAAGTGTTCAAAATTCAGTTTCTAACGACAATACTGTAATTATTTTGTTTTATTCTTTAGTCTCACTTTTTAGTATGGCTATAGAGCATGCCCTTAAAATTCGTGGGGATAGGTTCTCAAAATGGCTGTGAATAGCCAAATCCGCAAATAACATTTCCTGACCAGAGTGTGGGGGGTACATTTTTAATCATGTGTAAAGAAATGTATATTCCTCTATGTATTTGCCCTTGGACAATTATTTCTTTTTATCTGGAGAGAGAGAGAGAGAGAGAGAGAGAGAGAGAGAGAGAGAGAGAGAGAGAGAGAGAGAGAGAGAGAGAGAGAGAGAGAGAGAGAGAGAGAGAGAGAGAGAGAGAGAGAGAGAGAGAGAGAGAGAGAGAGAGAGAGAGAGAGAGAGAGAGAGAGAGAGAGAGAGAGAGAGAGAGAGAGAGAGAGAGAGAGAGAGAGAGAGAGAGAGAGAGAGAGAGAGAGAGAGAGAGAGAGAGAGAGAGAGAGAGAGAGAGAGAGAGAGAGAGAGAGAGAGAGAGAGAGAGAGAGAGAGAGAGAGAGAGAGAGAGAGAGAGAGAGAGAGAGAGAGAGAGAGAGAGAGAGAGAGAGAGAGAGAGAGAGAGAGAGAGAGAGAGAGAGAGAGAGAGAGAGAGAGAGAGAGAGAGAGAGAGAGAGAGAGAGAGAGAGAGAGAGAGAGAGAGAGAGAGAGAGAGAGAGAGAGAGAGAGAGAGAGAGAGAGAGAGAGAGAGAGAGAGAGAGAGAGAGAGAGAGAGAGAGAGAGAGAGAGAGAGAGAGAGAGAGAGAGAGAGAGAGAGAGAGAGAGAGAGAGAGAGAGAGAGAGAGAGAGAGAGAGAGAGAGAGAGAGAGAGAGAGAGAGAGAGAGAGAGAGAGAGAGAGAGAGAGAGAGAGAGAGAGAGAGAGAGAGAGAGAGAGAGAGAGAGAGAGAGAGAGAGAGAGAGAGAGAGAGAGAGAGAGAGAGAGAGAGAGAGAGAGAGAGAGAGAGAGAGAGAGAGAGAGAGAGAGAGAGAGAGAGAGAGAGAGATTTTTTTTTTGGTTTTTAGAGAGGATTTTGCCATTACATCGCATTCTCAATCTTACACTACCCGACATACTCGCCACATTCGCATTCAAAAAAAAAAAAATAAATAAATTACGTATTTTCGAGTCCCGACCTTAGTGATCGCGCTGTGTACTGGCAAATTTTTTGGGGGTTATTCCCTTTTGTGAAATGGAGTACCATCGATATGTTTTCCCATGTGTTGAGGTGGGAGCTTGTCTGTGGCAGTGCCCGGTTGCCAATCACCATCTGACGCTGTAAGAGTCAAGTCTGCAAAGAACGTGGTCTATTATTCAAACCCCTCACTTAGCGCAGTGAGTAGGATGCCGGGGCCCGACACGTCATAACAGCCCTGACGATAAAGCCAACATGGCCCCTTCACTTCCACGATTCTCAACGCCCTAAAGGGGATGCCAGGGCATCTCTACACCGCTGGGGAACACCAGGCGCACCCAGCAGCAGACCATGAGTGCATTGATGGCTCGGATGGCGTCTCTAGCTACTGGTGGCCACGGTCATGCCCCTACGTCGGTCATTAAGCCCTCAGCAGCGGTCGCTCCAGAGAAGTGTGAGGCAGAAATGCCAGCAGTGGCGTTTAGGATGTGGAGGCGGTCCATGGAGTCGTGGGTGCTGTTGAACGGGTGGTCACAACTGGTGGCCATGCTCCACATTCGCCTGAACTACATCCCTGCACTCTAAAGGGTGATTGACTCGACATATCCCAGCGGTCAGTGGGAGCAACTCTCGCCCAAGGAAGCCCTGGACGCCATCAGTGGAATAGTTCTTCATTCGTCAAAACAAGCTGTGAAATGGAACGAGTTTTTCAACAGCAAACAAGGTGAAGAGGAGCCCATGAAAAGGTATTTTCAACGCTTCTTCGCAGAGGCAGTGGAGTGTAAATTTGAATGTCCCACCTGTGATAACGACCTCTCTCAGTACATCCTAGTACGTAAAGTTATGGCGGGCCTGAGTAACCCAGTGTTGAAAAGGGAAATTTTCCAGTAGTACTCGGGTTATAATAGTGTTGAAGAATTAATAAACAAGTGTATGTTATTTGAGGCAGCAGTGAGAGATGCTGGTGTATTGTGTCATATGTCTGGCCAGGCAGTGGTGGGAACAGCCACGGAGTCAGCGGCGGTTGGTGATGACGTCACCGGTGAGTCCGAGGTAGCTGCAGCCCGACCTGGACACCCCAGTCGCACGCACTGTGGGAACTGCGGCATGACACATGCCTCCGGTAAAACCAACTTCCCTGCAAGTGGGACCACATGTCGCAATTGCTCTAAGGTTGGTCACTTCAAAAGGTGTTGTAGGAGTAAGTCAGTCCTAAGTGCTTCTGTGGGTGTGTCAGGTGCTGTCACATTGGCAACAGCCCAGCTATCCCGCCACCCCAGGTCACAAGTGTTCGTGACCCAGGCTGGGGGCAATTCCCCCGCCACCCCTGTGCTGGCTGTGGCTGACACGGGTGCTATGGTGTGTGTGTGTGTGGCAGGGGCATCCCTGCTCCGGGACATCGGTTTGTGTCCGGGGCAATTTCGGGCCAGTAATGACCTGAGGGACGTAGCGAACAAACAGCTCAAGTGTCTGGGGTCCGCCCTCTGCCGCCTCATTGTGGGCGAGGGGTCCACCGTCCAGGAGGTCTACTTCGTGCAGACAGCCAAAGCCCTCTACCTGTCATTGGAGGCCTGCTAGTGCTGTGGCTGCCGTGGGCAATGGAGAGGAGCGGCACACTGCCGACGACCTACCTCCGAACCCTTTACCTGAGAGCAGTTGTGTCCCTCCTAGGCCAGTTGAGATACCCTTGCCTCCTTTGGAGGAGAATGTGGCCAGGATGGAGGCATGGCTGCTCATGCACTTTTCACCGACCGCTTTCAATACCAGCAGGTCCCCACTGCCAGTCATGACTGGTCCCCTTCACCGTATCCACCTGACACCCGGCACGCCCCCTACGCCTGTCACACACCTGCTCCTGTTCCGAAACACTGGAAAGCGGAGGTGAAGGCCCAGTTGGAGGAGGACGTCAGGAGAGGCATCATCCAGCTAGTGCCTGCTGGTGAGGCTACAGAGTGGTGCACCAAGATGGTTGTGGTGGCCAAGAAAAACGGTCAGCCCAGGCACACTGTAGACTTCCAAGGCCTCAATGCAAGCTGTCTAAGGGAGACTCACCACACACCTGCACCATTCGACATGGTGTCCGGGGTGCCAGTGCACTCGTTCAAAACCGTCGCCGATGCCTTCTGTGGCCGTTTTCGATACTGCAGGACGCCCATGGGACATTGTTCATCGTCAGATGCCTACACCAAGAGGTTTGACTACGCTATTCAGGATGTGCTTCGCAAGTACAAGTGCGTGGATGACACTCTCCTCTATGATTCCAGTGTGAAGGGGGCGTTCTGGCACACCTACGATTTTCTGGAGACCTGCGCTCGCACAGGTATCACACTGAAACCAGAAAAGTTCTTGTTCTGCAGGAGAGAAGCCGAGTTTGTGGGTTTCCTCCTGGGGTGGGACCTCTTCCAGCCCACTGCCCAACGTCTGTCAGCCATCAAGGACTTCCCCATGCCCCATCAGCCATCAGTCACTGACATCAGGTCCTGGCATGGCCTGGTTAACCAGTTGGCTCCCTTCCTTGCCACTGCACCTGTGATGGAGCCCTTCCGTGAGCTCCTCAAGAAGCCAGTGGGTGTATTGGGACGACCAACTGCGGCTCAAGTTTCGCCAGGCCCGGGACACCATCTGTCAGTTGGCCAGGGATGGCTTGGTGTACTACAACAAATCCAGGCCTACGGCATCTGTCACGGATTGGAGCAGGGAGGGCATCGGCTTCGTCGTCCTGCAACAATGCTGTGCCTGTGCCTCTCCAGAGACGCCCTTCTGCTGCAGGGGAGGGTGGCGGTTGGCTCTGTGCGGTAGCCGACATCTGAGCACGGCCGAGGCCGGCTACTTTGCAGTAGAAGGGAGGCCCTGGCTGTGGTACGGTGCCTGCGCAAGGCCAGGCTGTTCCTCCTTGGCTGCCCGAACCTCATTCTGGTGACGGACCACCGCGCCTTAGTTGGCTTGCTAGGGGACAGAGCCCTCATGGATGTGGCGAATCCGCGCCTGTTCAGGCTCAAGGAGAAGACCCTGCAGTACCGGTTCACGGTCAAGTACTTGCCAGGGAAGCGGAACTGTGCAGCTGACACCCTATCCCGCTTCCCCTCCCTCAAGGCGGTGCCCGACGCAGAGGACATGGACCAAGAGGAGGACCTGTGCGCTGGAGTGTGTGCAGTCCCAATCGCAGCACTGGATCAGGATGGGTGCATCACTATGGACGAAGACACAGTGTGCAAAGCGGCTGCGGACGACCCAGTATACCAGATTCTAGTGTCGAGGGTGCTGTCGGGTGACTGGCACCCCCACAAGCCACAATTTTTTTTTTTTTTTTTACGGAATTAGCCCACCAGGGCACAGGTCAAAGAACCCACAACGGAGCCTGGGGGGGCGAGAAAAAAAACCAGAAAGAAATTGTAAATATAGAAAAAAAAGGTTATACTGTATTAATCTACACCACGAAGATGCCGGAAAACCAGCTTTTTAAAGTGAGACAGATTGTAAGAGCATGGAAATACAGAAGAAGGTAGAGCATTCCACAGTTTGGTTGTGTGAGGAAAGAAGGAGGTACTATAACGGGTTATTCTCGTGTGACCGACATTCACAGAGAAACGGTGGGCACCGCGGGCAAGACGTGTGTTACGAACCCACGGCCTTGCCAGCGGTACACAGGATGCGAAATCCACCGAACAATGACCGTTAAAGTACATGTAAAAGAGAGAGAGTGAAGCAACATTGCGGCGAAGAGAAAGGGAAGAGAGATTGTCGACTAAAGGAGGAGAGTTAATAAGACGAAATGCCTTTAATTCCACCCTATCTAATAGTTGGACAGAAG